ATATAAATATGATGGGCATGGTGGCACACGCCTTTAGTCCCAGTACTCAAGAGGCAGAGGCAGGTGAATCTCTGTGAGATGAAGGCCAGCATGTTCTCCACAGTGAGTTCCAGGTCAACTGGGGCTACAGGGAGACACTGTCTCAAAAAGACAAAAAAAAACTTAATTTAAAATAAATAAATATGTTGAAGAGAATGGGAGATAGATTGCTCACTGTTGGAACAGAGAGATAAAAACATGTAAAGAACAAAAGTTGAGTTCATACCTTATACTTTTAGCTACAACTGGAAATGCTAATTTAAACCCTTGCTTCCTGATACCTACAGATACAGAAATATGGATGCACATGTGCATAAGGGGCATGTATATATTACATGTTTCCTAGGTGTGTCCGTCGCAAAGCCCTAGAGCAGTAGAGTATCTAGTATCCAGACCTTGATGTCTAAATACTCTTCTCCATAACAAAGTAACTGGTGCTCCTTGGAGATCTGAGTGATTCCAGGGCTAGGTCAGAGAAAGAACAAGATGAGCCTGTAACATTTTGTACTCCAAAAATGATGGGGACATGTCAAAAAGACACAAAAGCCAGCTTAAAGGGCTCTCATTGGTTAAATGTGGGACAACCAGAACATCAAAATAAAACCAGGACAGTAAAGGAGTCCATTAAATAAAATAAGAATCCTTCAGTCTACATTGGCATAAACAAATAAATACATAATAGGAAGAAGGAAAACCTTTCCCTGGAAGTAAAATGCCAAATTATAAAAGTAAAAGGATGACAGAATTAGAAAATCATCATTAGTGCAATAATTCATTCAAGCAAGAAACACCACAGAGAGTAAAATTGTTGGTGAAAATGAGATAATGAATGAGGTTTCACATGGTTTCAGAGTATCTCCTCATAAAACTCATGGTAATTACAAAAGGAAGACAGGGTCAGTTTACAATGGAGGAATCTGGTAGACACCACCTTAGTCAAGCACTAAATAATGATCCTGTGCCATCAAATATACTGAAAAGAGAAAATTTACCATCACTTCTGTGGGACTCTGACCCTGAGGTTTAATCATGAGAAAATACAAACCCAAATTGAGGGACAATCTGCAATATAACTAGACTGTAATCTTCCACAATGTTGTGGTCATCAAGTCACAGAGAAGACTGAGGAATCACTCCAGACTGAAGGAGTCTAAAGAGACTTGACAACCAAACCAAACTGCCATCCTTGCTTGGGTCCTCTGGTTAAAAAGAACATTAGCAGCCAGGTGTGGTGGCGCATGCCTTTAATCCCAGCAGAGGCAGGAGGATCTCTGTGAGTTCAAGGTCAGCCTGGTCTACATAGTGAGTTCCAGGACAGCTGGGGTTATAGGGAGACCCTGTCTCAAAAAGACCAAAAAAAATAAAAAAACAGGGCCTCGAGACTTAGGGCAAATGCGGCTCTTCATACTACTCATGCAGCTTTCCCAACCAGTCCAAAATGGTTTCAAAACTGAAAAGTCTTTACAAAATCGGTAAATGTCACAAGAAAAATCTAGATGTTCAGCCTCCCCTAAAACAACAGAGGATCTGGCCATTCTACCATTGGTGACTTGGGGTACCACACAGCAAGTGCCTTCAGATAGGATAGCTGCTGTCCCCCTCTCTGTCTCCACCTGGCCAACTTCCTTCAGGGAAGTCACTTGTGACTATTTAGGTTTGTGACCTTTCAATTAGACCTCCACATGCTATCACACTTTAACCCATTCAGGCCTGAAAGTTTCAATACAATTTCTTTATTAATAACCTAGAAGGGACAATTATTCACTCGGTAACCCAGGACCAAGTCTGCAAACACTCATCCTAAACACAGACTGGAAATCATATGTTGAATTGAGTCCCTCTTAAGGAGATCAGGATTTAAGAACATTGGGCAAGTGAGATGGCTCAGCACGTAAAGGCACTTGCTACCAAGACTGAAGACCTAAGTTTGATCTCCAGGATCCACATGGTAAAAGGAGAGAACTAAATCCCAAAGATTGTGATTGTGAAGAGAGGATTTCAATGTTAATATATACAGTCAGCCCCTGACCTATGATACTGTGATTTACAATTTTTCCACTTTATAATGATGTAAGAGTAATCTGCATTCAGAAGAAATCACACTTTGAATTCTGAATGCAGACCTTTTCCCAGGCTAGCACTATGCACTATGATACACCCTTGTAACAGTGGGCAGCACAGCAAGCTGTAGCTAGTCACCCACACTATCAAAAGGTCAACAACTGATCCACAACAGTAAACCGTATTGCTAAACTGAGTGTCTGGTAGGTTAGGTGTGTTACTAGCAGAATTTTTAACTGTTGCTGCTATTTTCAACTAGTGATAGGCTTACTCTAGAACACCTGTGGTAGGTACTTAGCAACATTACTTGAAAAACACCTAAGCTGCTCGTTCCAAGATCTTTACCAATACAAAAGGGGAAAGCAAGCCTAAAATTGGTGAGATCTTATAAACTCTCCTCCCCTGTATAAAAACTACTTTGTTCCTCTAAGAATCAGACAGTACCTATTCTTATGGACAGAGTCACGGGGTCTAGATCTAGAATAGTTACGCACTCCCTTTGGTAGATATGCCTTCTGCATTCAGAACAAATGCACAAAGAAAGGAGGCCCTCATAGTGGCACATGAGTTATCTTTCAGCAGGTGTGGTCATCTCCTGAGCCAGAGAGGCCTGGGTGATGAAGAGCTGCCCCTCAGACACCCTTGCCAGAAGCCACTGGGTTTCATCCTGGCCTGACCTAGAAAAATCTTATGGAAGAGAACAAGAGGCCCAAGAGCTCTCTGATCTGCCGTCAACCAGCTGCAGCAGGGGAGCTGCCAAAATGCTGCAGTGACTAGGCAGCGCCCTGCAGAGCCGTCTGGGAGGGGATTACCAGCCTGATCCTCTGTCTTTAGAGCCAGAAATGACTCAAACTTCACAAACAGCAAGGACCTGCCAGGGAGAGTGACAGTGAGCACTGGAAGGTGCTTCTCCCCCTAGCCTGTGTCTCTTCCCCCAACTTGCTGCAGTGGCAGATTCTGGACAGAGTGAAGCCTGTGAGGTAATCTGAATTCCTTGGCAATCAGCAAGTACCTGAATTCTTTCATAAACCACAGGAATCCAGCAGAGAAAAGGTAAATATCCCAGCGGAGCCAGTGTTAATTAGCAAGAAAGGCTACCGAAGAAGGAAGCAGGGGCTGGGAGGAGAGAGGCACTGTGAATGATTTGGGGTCTTTTCTGCATTTCCACTGAATAGTATGGCTGGAGCTAGAAAGGCTGAAAAAAGGTAGGGCCAATGAGGCCTTTTCAGGGGTCCTCGCCTCCCACTTCCACAGCCTGGGTGCAGCCCTCACAGCTCCCCCTGGATACCTCCCTGTGCTGGTACTACCTCTGGGTCACTGACAACACATGTGGTTTTCAACTCAATGTTATTTAAATTTTTTAACTTTTTTTTTTTTTTCCTGTTTCAGTGCAGATTTGGCTATTTGTCTCAAAAAGGGCTTTGTCAAATCATTTAAAACCCATATTGGATCCACCTACAGCTATGAAATCGAAGACAAAGTCTTTTTGGATTCTACTTCTGAGAAAGAAATTAAGATCTATTTCTTTAGTAGGTTTAGAGAAGAATTTACACAAAATAACCTATTTCACAAAAGTACCTTGTGAAATGAACATTCAGTCTCCTAGCATTAATTTGAAGCACCCAACAGAAATGACAGGGTATAAAAGCCTAAAGAAGGAAACATCATTTTTGGTTCCAGTCTTGTCTCTTTCAGAAAGATTATGGTTTTCCTTGTAGTCTGAAAGTAAAGCAACCTGGTGATCTCCTTCCAAACTGATTACCTTCAGTTATGTCTTCACAAAACACATGTGACCCAAGACTACCAAAAGCGGCAGGTCTGGAGGAGCTGCAGACTACTGCTGAATGGAAAGACACAGCTGAGCGCACTCTGAGGACTGAAAGGAGCAGGTGAATGCCAAGATAAACAGTGGGTACTCAGGCAACTGGAGCGACCCACACGGAACAATGCACCTTGTGGGTCTGTGGCAAACAGTTCAAGATTATACAGGCATACTCCTTTGACAAGGTTCACATTCACCTAGGTTTCAGACAAACCAACCAAAGCCCTGGAAAATTTTTTTTTTTTTTTTTTGGCTCCATGTGGTCTGAGTATTTAAAAAGCTGTTTTCCTAATTGTGAGGACAAGCATCCACTGGTCATATAAGAATATACATGCACCAGGCATGGTGCTACATGTCTTTAACCCCAGCATTCAAGAAGCAGAGACAGGAGGATCTCTGTAAGACTGAGGCGAGCCTGGTCTACATAGTGAGTTCCAGGCATGCTCAGGCTATGGGAGACCCTGCCTTTAAAAAAAATGAACGCACATGCACATGTACATGCCAGCTTCCACTGGAAGCAAGACAATGGTCATTCAATTCTGTGGCTTCTGATATCCAACACAATACACAATGCCAAAGCATTTGTGTATCTGTAGGAGACTCCATAATGAATGTCAACATCACTCTCATTTTGTGTTCTGCACCATAAAGTCTTAAAACTATGTCATATTTTACTCATAGTAAGGGCTACTAATATTGTAGATGAAATATCTTTAGCATATTATACAAAATATATTTGTTGGTATGATGCCCTTGAAAAACTGTGTGCATCAATAACCTTGCTGTCTTTTCCAGACCAACTTATGACAGAACATAACCAGCTTCCAAGCAGGACAAAGGACACAAGTTGGGATGAGGATCAGTGAAGGAAC